TTGAAGACACGGGGCGAGATGAAGAGTGATATTCGTTTGGGTCTAGTGACATTCCATAACTTGGACGGCGACGGGGTGATCTTGAGCCATATTCGGTATCCCTATTAGGGTGTAGCATGTCACGGAATCTGGGCTGGTCGTTTCCGAGGTCTGACACAGTTTGGAAGCTATCACGAGGATGAGAGTCTCCCGCATTAGACGTGGATTGCAGACCAGCCGTGAGGGGCATCCGGTCTGACTCGAGAAGGTTTCTGCCGGCCGAGTCTTCCATGAAAGGATTTGTATTATCGAAGGAAAACCGTTCGTCTACCGCGGCGATGTCTAACGGCGCAGAAAGATTGAGTTCAGGGGGGAGAGCAGCCTGGAGAGCCGTCGGATCGATCGGTGAGCTAGGTGTCACGCCCTCGTCCAACCGAGAATCATAAGGTTGATCCCATGCAGGAGTAAGTGACACTGCTGGTTGTAGCCGAGAGGACGGCCCAGAAAGCGGTTGTTGGGAGGCATCTCGATCTGTTTGCCCATAGTTGGGGTCCATCCAGCCACCAAAAGGCTGTGAGGGCCGCCGAGATCCTGGACCACCGGTCGGTTGGTCAGACATGTTGCGGGCAGCAGGTTTGATTATGGAACGAGCGACAATCTTTGTAGAGGGCTTGGGCCTCAGCTAAGAAGAATTCGTTGGTCGTCGATGGTGGAGCGTCGCATCGTCGTCGTTTGTATCGGTTTGAGGCAACGGTGAAGACAATAGAAGATACACACACGACTCCAGATCCCGCACGATGGGACCATGTAAGAATGGAGGTTTGAGACCGCCAAAAAAACCAACCGTCGAGAAGCCCTGCTGCTGATGGTCAATACGAACTCGCAGCCAAGAGCCAATGAAGAAGCTCTGGAGCCCTTCAGCAACTGGTCCCTGAATTGCGTGTCGGGGCTTGCTGTTGGGATGCTGCCAAAAATAGAATCGTTAGCATGCCTCTATCCTTGCTAGCAAAACGCTCGGTACTTCGTCGCATTCTCTGCTAGAGACTCACTACGCTGCCGCATAAATGCATAGCAATCACGTTTAGCCACTATCGGGAGTACAAGGGCCCTATCCACGCTAAGCCATCTTTGGAAGGGGCGACAGGGGCTCTCGAAAAAGATGTCTGACAGAAGCTTGTCCACTGGCTTGAAGAACCAAGAAAACGCGACACAGCGCATCAAAAGCGCGTCTCAACAACCTTCAACCGCCAAGATGCCCTCGCGAAAGCGATCAATCGAAGCTGGCGATGGGCCGAGCACCGATGAATCGACGCTATCTCGCCTGCGAAACATGTGGCAGTTTGCCAATCTCAGCCAGTGGATTTACATCTTTGGCAAGGCTGCGAAGATTGACGAGTCCATCGACATTGAGGCAAGCTTCAGCGCTCTAGCTAGAATATCATCTATCAAAGACTAACAAGGTATTTGGGGTTTAGGAACTCGAAATGGAGTGTTTGAAACCTCAGTCAACGGTTCTAGTCGATATTGCTGTCGCACTTCTTCGGCTTATTTCGAATCATCGCGGATTGACGTAATGAGCAGCACCCCCCTTCTCGAGTTCTCCTGCGACAAGTCGCCTTCTTTTCTTTTCTAATAACATGGCTACAGTCAGGAAATACTCAACTCTCAAGCACAGAAGCTCTATTTATCCCGAGCGCCAGAGCGCAATCCCTTCGGAAGCGATGATACCGCCCTGAGTTTCCAAGACTTTGATGTCTTCACAAAGGTACACGGTCCGGTGGTTCCCTCGACACCTAGCGCTCTCTCTCTAACACGAGTATGTGTAGATCACAGTTCTACAGCAGCTTACCCAGTGGGTGATGATTCATCCAGAGCGGTTTCGCGACAAGATGGAGGAACAGAAGGATATCGATCAAGCAACCTGGGTAAGTCAAAGACGAAGTCATACTCGTGTTTGTCGCTGTACATATTCTTACTCCTCATTAAACAGCGCATCGAGCCCTACGGATGGGACAGCGAGGACAGAACTTATTTCGTGCTGGACGACAACCGCGTTTATCGATTGACAGAAGCACCTCCTGCTCCGCCACCGAAGCCGAAAAAGAAGAGGAAATCGTTTCGCGCCGGGCGGCGCACGAGTAAGCGCAGACGTACCGACCAAGGAAACTCCAGTCAACCCGACGAAACCATTGATATCGATGAAGAAATGCATGCAGAGCCTGAAGATGACGGGCTGGGTGGAATGACTTGGGAATGTCTTGCCATCTCACTCGGGGAGGTACAAGCGCTCCTGGAAGGGTTCCAAAAAACTCGCGACGAAAATGAGAAGGTTTTACGAAAGCAGTTACAGGACCATCTCGTTCCGATTCTCGAGAAACAGGAGGAAAGTCGAAAACGAAAGGCACTCCAGCGCGAGAGAGAACTTCTCAACTTGGCCAAGATGGCCAACGCTAAACGATCAAGCCGCCTTGCTGGGAAAGCAGAACAAAAGAAACAAGAAGAAAAGGCCAGGGAAGAACTTGAGCAGCAGAAAGAGGAAGAAAGCATTCGTCGCCGGGAAGCAAGTGCACAGATAAAGATGGAGCAAGAGCGTGAGAGGAGGATGGCGTCCAGGGGTAACCGTTTGAAGGAGCGCGAGGCCCGCCGTATTCAACACGAGGAAGAGCTTGCTCAACTGTCTGAAGATAGCAAACGAACAAATGACGGTGTCGGAAGAGCTTCCGCAAGACGCCTACAGGCCGAGATTGAGAAGAATCGGCAAGCTCTCATGGAACTCGGCGCTGAAGAAGATAATTGGGTTTTTGATTGCGTGTGCGGCCTATATGGACAAGTTGACGACGGTACTCACAGTGTTGCCTGTGAGACATGCAACGTGTGGCAACACAGTAAATGTCTCAACATTAGTGAGGCCGAAGCTGAAAGAGCGGACTTCCACTTTGTTTGTGAATCTTGTCGTCGACGTCAAGAAGAACTCTCGAAGCCAAGTCATCAAACTCAACAGCTTGAAGTGCGCCAGAACACGCCTGTCCAAGCCCAGACTCCTCTAGCTGGGAACAACGTTCTTACGATAAATCCTGCCTCAGAGCAGAAAAACGGTCATAGTGTTGTTGAGTCGAAGCACTCAGCTGGGTCCGAGCCCAAGTCAAGAGCACCAGAAGCTTTGAGCCTGTCGCAACAAAAACCAGCGGAAGTTTTACAGCCAAATTCACCAAATAAATCCTCCTTTGAGCTACCGCTCTCATTTGGAACACCAGCTTCATCGACTAAACAAGTTCTCAATCTTGACAACGGTCCCGAAGCGTCGCTTAGCACACCAAGCATTACTCGAGATATATATCGCGCGGCCCATTTGGAAAATGGAAATTTGCCTTCTCATGCAGGAATATCACCAATAAAACACTCCCCACGCAGCTCATTCACAGCATCCAGTCCAAGTTCTCACAACATACACGGTGCGAGTGCTACAGCTCTGGCACCCGAGTTGACCTTGTCGCCAAACCCCCAAAAACCAATTCTAACGCCGCCTACAAAACAGGCCGAATCTGCAAGGCCGATAGAGCGAAGTTAGCGCGGCGAATATCCATACGGCCCTGCGCGTTTTCTCGTCGGGTCTGTTTATTATGAAACTTCCAAAATAGCAATCTTTTAATGGTGGGCGTCCGTGCCTGCAAGGCTATTCACCCGACAATACATCCATGCTCTCTATATATAATTCACATAACCTATTATCAGCAAGGTGGCGAGCTAAGGAGTCTTTCCTCTTGTCTGGCTATGTGTGGCTATACTGCCTAGTTAAAAACAAAGCCATACCAAGAAATGCATCATTCAAAGAGCAGCTGCCAATTAAACTCGGGGATACTTTAAGCAGGCATCAGGCACAGAAGATGCGAGTTCCTTGTATAGTGACTGCTGCTCAACTGATACCAACCAGTGCGAAGGGAGGAGTGGAATTACGGCAACGGTTCTGATTCAAAAGGCTAGTGCTAGAGAGTTCGCATGACGAGTCCGCATCACAAGTGTGAGAGAAGCCAAGGGATACCATTGTTACAAAGTATCCCAGGCGCAAGAGGGGGCTAACAATAAGTCACTGGAATGCGCCATGGCTGAACTTAGCGCAGTGTCCAATCAAACGCTGCGCTGCTGTACACCATCTGGCTCTAGTGGCCCAATAACACGAGGCTGCCAAAATATCCTCGCGCGCGGACCAAGTCGCTCCCTGATTTTCTAGAAAATCCATGTTGGTTGAACTAGACAATGGCTCTGGTGAAGTCGCGTGGAGGTCACGTACATAGTTACAGATCAGGGAGCGGTCATAGTTGTTCCTAAACTTGTTTATTCAAGGGGCAACTTTCTAATTCTAGACACGGCTAGGTTATACCTTCTGGCCAAGGCCATCCGTCCTACGGTGTGTATAAGAGATCAATGGCCAAACCAGGGTAGTCGAGCAGTTGTCGCCTCCGTAGTTTCAATTTTTGACAAAGGGTGTCAGTTCAAGGACTCTTGTCCCTGGATTTTTTTTCTTTTACTTTTTGTCAAGTCTACTATTTGAAAAGAATCAAGCCTTGGTAGACAGACAATCGTTTTGTTCTCTGAGTTGAGAAACAAGGCAGGTTACAGAACTCAAACAAAGAGGCCTGGCCCGGGCCTTGTCAGGTTCTTTCTTGTGAGAAATAAAAGCTCCTCTGTTGCAGCCATTCGAGCTTTATAGCTTTTGACACTTCAATCCCATCTTACAACATTCTACGAGACACGCCTTATACAAACTTTTAGTAATGTCGTATCCACCAACGCCTCCGATGGACAACGTGTATTTCAACCAAGGGCCCATCTATCATCCCAATTCAAGTGGTCAAGTAGACCTCCGCGGATCGCCTTATACGCCGCCCGAGGATAGGGAGACTATATTCCACGACCCCTCGACCGAAATTAATGTGCGTGCTTCTCATCCAAAATGCAGTTGTGAATCTATTGAAAGTGTCTAACTCGTATGTAGCCACAAACTTATCCTCCTCCTCCTCCTCATGACCTTGTCTATTCGAGTGGACAAGCGAGTTGGCACCAACATCCACAACAGGTAAGTAAATTCTACTTTGATCGCAGAAAGTGACCGGAAAATTCTAATATTGTAATAGCCTTTGCCACAATTTCCTCATCATCATTATTATCCTGTGCCTCCTGCGCAAAATGTTATTTACGCGGGAGATGATCACAGGAGAGAGGGGAATGCTGCTGCGCGCGGGAAGATTGTCAAACAATCCAAAGAAGTCAAGCCAGTGTCGAAAAGTAAAAGGAAGAGGGCTCAGAAACACACCAAGCCTGAAGTTCTGCCTCCCAACTTCAAGACTTTGTCTGTCTTAGCACAAAGTTACCCCGATTTCGACGACGGGCTCACTGAAGCAAAGGTTAGACGCGGAAAGGAGGTTCGAGAACATGAGAATGTTACACAGGGAAGAGTGAAACGACCGCTCAATTGTTTCATTCTATACCGAAGTCATTTCAATAAGGTGACGAAGCAAGAGCTCACAAAAGCGGTAAAAGCAAATCCCAGAGAAAAGCCAAAAGAGGGAGATCCACACATACCTTCTATCAATCCTCGAGTCTCAGAGTATGTTGCAAGATCATGGAGGAATGAAACAAAAGCTGTTAGGGCCAGATTTGATGCTTTGGCTGCCGAAGATGCAGCAGAGCATCTGCTAGCCGACCCCGACTACAAATATACGCCAAAGCCGAAGAAAGACAAGAAAGGCAAGAAAGGCAAGGGCAGAGCTAAAAGCCGCGAGGACAGTCCAGACTCAGATGATGAGGAAGACGCAGATTTCTCTGACGGTGATATGGAATCGACATCATCACGCCATCATACACCTCAGACTATACGCTCCGACTCGAGGAAGTCTCCCCTCCCTGAGGTGACAAGACAGGAGTGGGTTGCTGTTGAACACAATTGGGTTGCTGCTGAGCAGCGTTCATCACCGTACCCCGACCCAAGGTACCAGAACTATCAGCAGCCACCACCAGCGTATCCACAACCACCCGCGTATCAGCAACAAACACCAGCGTATCATTATCAGCATATGGATCAGGAACTACCAGCGTTCTCGCAGCAATCACAAGGATGTTATCAACCTCCCAACCAAGGGGAGCCTCCTCTTGGGACAGTTGATCCAAGACTGTGCCAACGGCCTGGTACAGAGGACCCGCATCTGGGTCTGGAATCATCAACTCAATACACCTCACCCCAATACCCTCCAGCGTACGCTGTTGACAACGAAATCGAACCATCGGTCGGGCAATATGGGATGCCATTTGATGATGAAATGGATAGAATGCTTAACCTTTCTCCTTCTTAATTATGGAATTATGATCAGCGGGATAATGGCTGTTATAGCGGTAGAGTGCCACTTGTTTATTGCTCGGGTAGTTTAAAGCCCTGTCTTTGTTATATATATATAGGTATGTGCTGAAAGCAGGTTTTCTTTTGTTCATTCACGGTCGGAGGGTTCTCTTAATTTAGGTATACTGTGGATTTAGAAGTTGAAATTTTTATTTTTTAATCTTATCGCAGACCTGACGGAGTTGTATCGTAGAAATCATAATAGATTGAGGGCTCAATGTGCTTCTAGAAACAATTGGGAAGACATTCCTAATTTCGCATTCATAGTGGATTTTCCCGAGTTTTATGGATGATAAAGAATAGAAAGGGAAGGGTACCTGTGAGTACGGTACCGGTACTTAGTCTGGAGTCTGTAGTTGATGCCTTAGGTAATATGAATGCCGAACTTGATTATGTCATCAAATAGTCAAATCAACAGCTTCCCTGCCTCAACAGCAACTCGTAGCTTCCCTCTACCGTACCTTGCATTTGCGTCATCAATCATCCACAGGAAGTGCACAAGAAACATTGCAAAAATGGGCTTTCCCGCGCAACTCGTCACTTTTGCCGGGCTTGTTCTTCTGGCGCATGCGTTCGTTACCCTCCTTGCCCCTTGTATATTACCTCGGTTTCGTTGCTAACCTGTCCTTTGCGCAGTGGATATTCAGCTCAGGAGCATGCAGTGCTCTCGTCAACACTAGTCAACCTCCAACTCTCTTCAAAAACATTACCTCTTGATATAACTATCGAAACGATAGTTGCCACCTTAATAGTGTCCCTCGGTCTGATCTGGGGCTCCCCTCAACTTCGACCAATCCAGTGGCACGTCTGGGCTGGCAAGATCGAGCGCGAAGGAATTGCTGGATCAGCAGGCCAAGGGAAAGAAGCTGAGAAGAAATTCCAGGGCAATCCATTCAACGCTTTGGAATTTCGTTCCGGATTTGTTGACATTCGTAAGCAAAGGAGAGACTTTGCCGACTGGGCCAAGAGCGGGAAATGACATGGCAAGCATCAAATATTGATCATTGACGTTGGGGGACTCAAATAATAGAATGGCTTGAGGGTTGGGGATCTTGCTTTATGATATTCATGGATTGACGGCTTACTCATTTTCTGCCTGTCTATATCTTCGCTACCAGGCAATAAACCTCCTGGCTGGCAGCGCGCCCTTGCTTATAGCCCATTGTTAATTGATGGAGCATATCTAACCTCCGTTGCCAACATTCCTCGTACCATCGATCAACCATTTTAGATACTTGGTGTAGTAGCTACCTACGTAAGTAAAGTCGCATCTTTCCTACATGTACCTATCTTGCCTAAGGTACCTAGATCTCAGTTATCGGGAGCTAGTGGAGTAGGCACCTACCTTACTTCTTGGTGTAAGAAGTACATGTATGGAAGGAGCAGACTGTAACCGAGATTTTGGAAAGTGCCTGCCCACAAAGTATGCGATGGGAAGGTACAGATTGCTCCCAAGTGCCATTGCATGGTTCTCGAGTCAACTAGGTGCCAGAATTCCTACAACTTTTTCCCTCCTTGCCCAAATTACACAGCCCGTAATGAACTTCTTGATCTTGCAGATGGCTGTATAGCTTCTCTAGAGTTTCATTACCCAAGTATTCAAGATGGCCTCACGATCTACACCCATGAAATCAGCAACCGGCTCGTCTCCGCTCATGCCTCGCCAGCGAAAACGCCAGAGAACCTCGTACCCGCCAAATCCAGCCGCACAAATAGGAGAGCAGGACATGAACTATGGATCTAGAAATAATTCCCAACCAGGTTCATCGAGGGCTTCTCAAGTACTGAATCCACCATCTCCCTTCGGTTCGTTTAACTCTGGCACGATCGCTAGACGCCAAGGCAACTCTCCAAACTCAATCCATGAGGATTCTCCAGCAGACAGGGATAGCCATGAGCTGGAACTTGGAGATGGCTTTTCAGAAGAGATCATTATGGCCATTGATCTTAAAGGCACTGACACTATGGGGTGCGCATACTTCAACACCTCCACCGCTACTCTGTACTTGGCCGAAGATATCCTTCAAGCTACGCTGGATGTAGTCGGACAGCTCGTCGTGCACGCTCACCCGACAACATTCTTAGTTTCACGAAGAGCACGAGAAGACCTGATGGATACCCTAGAAAAGTTGAACTCTCAAGGTAAGTTCTTTTATTCCAGATAATCTCGCTAGAGCACATTAACAGCTAGAGTTTTAGCGGAGCAGAGCCCTTTGTTCAACCTCCGAGTTGTTCCGTCTTCTGATTTTTCCAATACATCTGCCAGAGAAGGACTTGCCTCCCTTGACCTAGACATCGCCGATTTTGTTCAAACACTGGTCTCATCGTCTGACAACAGCCAGTTAGGTGCCTCGCACCACGAAACTCTCAAGGAATCTCGTATAATAAAATCGCTTCGATGCGGTTCTTTGGTTAACATAGACAGTCATGTTTCCGTGGGTGACAATGCTCTCTATTGATGATAGTTGATCACTAATGCTATACTAGATTGATTGTGCAGGGGCGGTGATGGTTGAACTTCATCGACGTCGCTCAGCAGGGCATCATTCACAGTCAACTTACTCTATTTCTTCTCTCAAAATGTTCCAACTTTCACATTATTTATTTATTAGCGCTGAAACATTACTGTCGCTTCAAATAGTACGTTCAGAACTCCATCCTAACAGCCAGATATGGGGACAGGGCCCAAACAGCAACAGCATGAAAGAAAGTCTTTCTATTTACGGTCTCTTCCATTTCTTAGCCTGCACTTCTCAAGGACGAAAGTCTCTACGACAAATATTTCTACGGCCAACTTTGGACATGGGTATCATTATCGAAAGACAGCGAACGATACAGTTTCTCCTGCGGCAAGAGAACACGGATATTATCAGGAAGCTTCCCTCAGTATTGCGAAAAGTCAAAAATGTGAAAAGTATCATGGCACATCTTCGCAAGGGTATTGATTTGGCGGCAGTCCGCCAGTCATTCGACAAGTGTGTGTGGGCCAGCCTGAGAGCATTCACGGTGCAAGCGCTGAGGTTGAGAGAGATGATTGCAAGCCTTCGCGGAGGTGACGATATTGAGATTGTTCGCCAGGTAATCGCCCCCGGGTGCCCGCAAAGCAAAAGTAGATGGGCAATGCCTTAAGTACATATCTGACCACTGATGCAGGTTCTAGAAGGTGTTGAGCCATCCATTTTGGTCCAAGTCGGGGAGCTTGTTGACAAAACTATCGACTTTGATCAATCTATCGAGCAGTATCGCCCGTCTGTTAAGGAAGGTATAGATCAAGAATTGGATCAGTTAAAACGATTCTATGGAGGAATGCCTAGTTTCTTGAGCAAGGTGGTCAAAGATGTAAGCCGCAATATACCAGAATGGGCACGCCAGTACATTCAATCTTGCGTGCTTCTCCCCCAACTTGGGTTTTTAGTTATGGTTGACTTCGATCCCCAAACGAAAAGTGCCAAGTACGAAGGCGAAGGCGCAACAGATGATAAGTGGGAACAGATCTTTACTGCGAACGGCGCAGTATGCTATAAAAATCGCTACATGAGAATGCTCGATGAGCAGTACGGGGACATGTATTGCCAAATAGGCGGTATGACCCTGCTTATTCAAAGACGCAAGCCAAGATACATATTTCGCTAATTCTTCAGCAGATAGAGAAGTTGAGATCGTTCACAATTTGGTCAATCTCGTTCTCAAGCATGAAGATGTTCTGATAAGAGCATCGGACTTGTGTGGTGACTTTGACGCCCTTGCAGCGCTCGCCGCTGGTGCCGAAAAATATAGGTGGACAAGGCCTCGAATGACAGATGCAAATATTCTCGAAATAAGAGGCGGACGTCATCCTCTTCAGGAACTCGTCGTGACTACATTTGTGCCAAACGACTGTCGCCTATCATACGAAGAAGTAGATGATCCGGATGCCACCGAATCAAGTTCAGCTCTCCTAGTCACCGGCCCGAACCATTCAGGGAAAAGTGTTTTCTTGAAGCAAACTGCCATTATCGTCTATCTAGCCCATATTGGAAGTTTTATACCGGCGGAGAGTGCTACTATTGGTCTGACAGATAAAATACTTACCCGTATCTCAACTCGAGAAAGCGCCACCCGTAATGAGAGCGCATTTGCTATCGATCTCAAACAAGTTGTTCAGGCTACAAGAAATGCCACAGAGCGAAGTCTTGTGCTTGTAGATGAGTTCGGTAAAGGAACCAACTCAGATGATGGCGCAGGCCTTTTGGCTGCTGTCTTGAGCCATTTCCTCTCACTCGGCCCAAAATCCCCCAAGTTATTAGTTGCCACACATTTCCATGAGCTCTTCGAATGCGGCTACTTGAAGGAAATACGAGGCTTAGCATTTGCTCACATGGATGTACGGGCACATACTGCGGAGATCGGCGAGAATAGCCAAATTACATACCTTTTCAAGCTCACGAGTGGCTACAATAACTTGAGTTTTGGGGGAAAGTGCGCGGCGCTGAACGGAGTACCTGACGCAATTGTGTCTCGGGCAGATGCGATCTCAAATCTTCTCGCTCACAATGAAGATCTAGCCTCCGCCTGCGCAAAGCTGTCAGCAGAAGAACAGACTCGATTAGAGGAAGCGGAAGTTGTGGCACGCAGATTCTTACAAGCAGGCCTAGATGCTGGCAAAGGTTTTCATGGCACAGCATCGCTGAAAGCCACATTAAACGCTATATTGGCTCCTCCTTAGCTATTGTCGTTATTTCAAAGTACAAGACGCGGAGATAGATAGTAAGGGACGTGGCTATTTCCAAGAGCTTAAAAATGCATCAATCTCAGGCTAATATTGGGAGACACAGCAATTGCCAGTTGTGTGATGATATTCACCAGAATAAAGTCTTGGCCTTTATATTCTCTGGTCGTGAGATTCATATTCATCATAAAGTCTATAATTTGTTACCCGAAGAACAAAAAAAGCAACGAGAATGAGCAGATGGTTGA